CCTGATGAACTCAGAATAACGAATAGTGGTGACAGATTCTTATTATATGACGATGGAGATTCTAACCGTAGAATTATTATATTATCGTCAGACGAAGATTGTGATCGATTATCATATTCTAAGCATTGGCACTGTGATGGAACCTTTAAAGTACGTTTAATAATCATTATTAGCTTTAAAAATAATTCGCTAATACATAATTTCTTTTTTTTTGATAGGTTGCACCTCAATTATTTTAACAACTGTATATTATTCATGGTTACTAGTGTGGTCGTTCACTGCCATTGGCGTATTGTAATATCTCAGGAAAAGATGAACATATTTATGATGAAATATTCGATGTTGTCCTTAAGCATTTATCTCAGCGTCCACAATCAATAACTATTAACTTCGCATGTTTAACGTTAATACATGAAAATGTTGTAGTAACTGAATTTGAACGATTGCAAACTAATTCACTAGATTCAATTCATGGCAGGGTTGCCAACTATTATTTTTCAAATGGGGTTTTTGAGAGTCAAAATGGGGTACATTTGGGGTACGTTCCTTTTCAGAAAGAGGAACAACTCTGGGGTACATCATTTTTCTACTGAAATATTCGACTTAAGTGAGAAAACGATGAAGTAAAACTTCTTTTATAAAAAAATAACGTAATATCTCACTATGTTTATAACTGGATTAGCTTTATTGTTCACTTTCTATCAAGAACAATGAACAGAATATTTATCAGTGCGACATTTTCTGAGAAATGATGCATATTTAGGATTGTTTTATCATTGTTTATTGAAGATGCAACGTCCTTTTGACTTTGATGATAAAAAAATATTTTTTTCTTTGATATTGATAGTTGGTTGGTCTCGAAAACAAGGAATGTCGTCATTAGTTGTTGCTTCTGAATCTTCAGAAGCTTCTATTTCATAAGTTTCTTCCAATTCCATATGAATATTACCATCAAATTAATTGAAAAGAAATCTATATATAGATTCATTTTTAAGGCAGCATATCTATATTAAATACCATACGAAAAAATACTGAAACTATGAGAAATGACAAAAGGAGAAAATTCATTAAAATGTATTTCATTGTTCGTAGTAAAAATAGTAGATAAAATTGAACAATCCAAGATGAAGTTGGACATTGAATAATATGGGTGTTAACATATTTTGACCAGTTCTCCACCAATACACTTTATTATAGATATCTTTGTAAGACACACAAAAATCTAGTGGAGAACATAGCTTATTTTTATTAGAAGATTTATAAATTGTACTAAAGACTTAAAAGCTCGAATGGGGTACAAAATATGTACCTCATGAGGTACACAATTTTGTGAGGTACAAAACGGTGAAATGGGGCACTGTACCCCAAAATGGGGTACAGTTGGCAACCCTGGCTAATACCTTTGTCATAGCAACATGTATATTTTTTTTTTAATAAAACAATATAAAAAATAGACGAGCAAGAGCTCTTTTTCATTATTGATGAACATGTTAAATTTGCCAAATTAAACTATTTTCCTTTTATACGTAGTTTTCTTAATGCCAGGCTCAAATGTCGAGTCACCTTATAAATTTTGCAACACTTCTTCTAAACAAATCTTATTATCATCCGAGTGGTTTCCTCACTGTGAAATTACCCTTGGAAATGATATTATTTAGAGAAGAACTTTCTCTTTAAAAACATCACAAAAGTACTGGCGGTGTGACTTCCAATCGTTTATTTCAATAACCTATGGATACGAACAGATGTTTCAAAGACAAACTTGGAAAACGAAAAATAACTATTCGAAATGAGAATAAAAACGATATGATGATCATCGACGAAAGATAGTTTTCATTGAATAGTAGATATAAGGTATGATAGACATTCGTTAATTCGATTGTTCCACTAGTTGAACAGGAATTTCATCGAAATTAAAATGAACATAAAGTCTTTCTTTGCTTCAAAGACTATTGACGATTGATGCGGGTGTGGAGGTGAGTAAATGAAAGATGAATTCACACCCTCAAGGTTGAAGGCATGATGGGGAAGAAGAGGAAGAACATTGGTCGAAAAACTTGTATATCTCCTTCAACACTTATGTTTGCGAGAAAGTATACTTCAGCATCGATGTATTGTAGTCATTGGACACTTGAAGATCAACAAAAAAATGGAAATAAAAACAATAACATGAAACACGTTAGATGCTTTGTTTTTGTTGATTTCTCTCGATCTTCTTCTTAAAAACAATATTTTCAACTGGGATTAGACCTATCGCACACTTTCATTTTGATGACAGTATAGGAAAAGCAAGCAATATATTGTACTTTATGGAAGTGAATTTCTTTTATTTTGTTTAGATTAAACTTTGAGGGTGTGGGTGTGGGTGGGTGAGTGAGGGTTTGGGTAGGTGTGGGTGGGTG